TATACCATAGTTTGTAGACATTATAACTTTCACACAAACCAATTGATATATACAGTTATTGTGCTTTTTTTATTGTGCTTTTTTTTTTACCAAAGATATGTAGCAGAATACATTTTGGCCTAAATTTATATATTTTGGCCTATATTGATATATACAGTTATTGTGCTTTTTTTATTGTGCTTTTTTTTTACCAAAGATATGTAGCAGAATACATTTTGGCCTAAATTTATGAAGAAATTAGATTTTTTTATTTTTTATTTTTTATTGGACAAAGATTCAAATCACTTACACACCCTTCACACTTGTGCGACTTGTCATGCGACTTTGGACGTCAAAGTCGAATGACAAGTCTACCCTATGTTTTCCAAAAATAAACACTCATATACACTATATTGCCAAAAGCATTGGGACACCCCCTCTAAATCATTGGATTCAGGTGTTCCAATCACCTCCATGGCCACAGGTGTAGAAATCAAACACCTAGGCATGAAGATTGCTTCTACAAATATTTGTGAAAGAATGGGTCACTCTCAGGAGCTCAGTGAATTCAAGCATGGTACTGTGATAGGTTTCCACCTGTGCAATAAGTCCATCCATGAAATTTCCTTGCTTCTAAATATTCCACAGTCAACTGTTAGTATTATTGTAACAAAGTGGAAGCAACTGGGAACAACAGAAACTCAGCCATGAAAGGGTAGGCCACGTAAAAAGACAGAGCAGGGTCAGTACATACTGAAGTGCACGGTGCGCAGAAGTCGCCAACTGTCTGCAGAGTCAATAGCTAAAGACCTCCAAACTTCTTGTGGCCTTCAGATTATCACAACAACAGTGCTTAGACAGCTTTATGGAATGGTTTCCAAGGCCGAGCAGCTGCATCCAAGCCTTACATCACCAAGTGCATAAAGCAAGGTCCATAGAGACATGGGCAAGTTTGAGGTGGAGGAACTTGACTGGCCTGCACAGAGTCTTGACCTCAACCTGATAGAACACCTTTCGGATGAATTAGAGCAGAGACTGCAAGCCAGGCCTTCTCAGACATCAGTGCCTGACCTCACATATGCACTGCTGAAAGAATGGTCCAACATTCCCATAGACACACTCCTAAACCTTGTGGACAGCATTCCCAGAGGAATTGAAGCTGTTATAGCTGCAAAGGGTGGGCCAACTCAATATTGAACCTTACTGACTAAGACAGGGATGCCATTAAAGTTCATGTGCATGTAAAGGCAGGCGTCCCAATACTTTTGGCAATATAGTGTATATGTGACTTAAAGTCGAAGCAACGTCAAAGTAGTTCATGCACTACTTTGGTCCAACTTTCATGCAACTTGAGGGTCATAGACTTCAATATTAACCCTCATAAATTGTATGAAAGTCATATCTGAATGTTTTACATGCAACAGTGATGAAATAGTGGGTCCAACTTTGCAAAGGGACAATAAGTCACATTCAAGTCACACCCATCCAATGTTGTGTCAAAGTTGCACTCCAAAGTTGTGCAACTTTTGGAGTTGTACAAGTGCGAATAGAGCCTTAGAGGTCTTTTTGAAATGTTTATTGATTAAATAGAATCAAATACAGCAAATACATTTCAGGTTTGAGCAGTGGATACTATTAGGATCATGATGGGAATACCTATGTTAGAGCTTGATAAAGACTGTCAAATCTTAACGGCGTTATGAACTGCTGGCTGGATTTGGGTGTGATATTGGTGATTAAAATGTAATTATTCTTGTCGGTAACACTGTTTGTTTATTTTCCATTTTAATTACAATTAGAAAAAAAAGAAGCATGGAAAAAAAAGAGCTGAGAAATTTGCAAAGCATCAGATATTGAATTATATTGATCTATTCTCTCATCTCAGGGCAGCACATTGGCTAAATGGTTAGCACTTCAGCCTAGGGTTGCTGGTTTGAATCCCTACCATGACACTTCCTGCCTGGAGTTTGCATGTTCTCCCTGTGCCTGGGTGGGTTTCCTCTCACACTCCAAATACATGGTGGTAGGTTCATTGGCTCCTGTCTAAATTGGCCCTAGTATGTGTACAGTTTGTATGAATGTGAGTTAGGAACCTTAGATTGTACACCCCTTGAGGGGTAGGGACTGATGTGAATGGACAATATATATATATATATATATATATATATATATTTATGTCAAGCGCTGCATAAACTGATACCACTATATAAGTACCTGAAATAAATAAGTCTCTTCCTAGTGCCTGCTTAGGCTATGCCCATAACTTTCATATAATAGATGCCATCCACGTTGGTTCCATATACATAGATTTTGTATTAAAAAACATTATAAGCACTATTTAATAAAGGTCTAGTTAAAATATGTGCTAGGCTGTATTTCCGAAACAAAAGTGCAAGTTTGCTTTAGTTTTAAAATTGCTCAAAAATTAAAATGACAAAATTGATCAATCTCTTTCAATCAGCATTTTTCTTAGTCTACCTTCTTCTGTTTAAAGATAACACTGTTTTGCTTTTGCCTACTAGCCTAAATCTCCAAATTCTTCTTTTGTGCTAGATTTTAATTTGCTAAACACTGTCCTACAAATCAATAAGAATGTGTGCCAACAGGTATTTGCTTGCTTCATGCCATGTGCAAGATAAGTGATTACATGCATCAGCCTTATGGTAATCTACATTCTTCAACAGTATATTGAAAAGTCTGTCTTGAAAAGATGCACAGAAGTTAACCTTGCCTACAAGCCAACAAGTTCAATAAGCTGTTGCTTGAATTTTTAGATGTATAAAGAAAATGAACAGATGGCGGTTTACTCTTTCTGAAAGCAGTACAACTTGATGTAAACACAATGTTAGAATTTATTATGGTCCCAATGTAAGAGAACTCTTGAAAATGTAATTTCATTACTGTGTAATGCTCTGTAATAGCCAATCATTTCGTTCCCCCACAGCTATCTACTCCACTAAATGCTCACCACCTCCCTCATCATATTCACGACTCGACTACTTGCAACTGCCCCTCTCACTGGCCGTGCCTTGCCAGCTGGCTATATGTTCTGTCAGTCTCATATTTTCAGCGTTTACAGTTGCTACTCTCACGGCTTTTTTATGCTGGTCTCAAGCAAGACTATAGTTACCTATTACTTTGTGCAAACTGTACACTCTGCAAAATTGAATAGATCTACATTACGTTGGGAGTGTGAGATGAGTAGAAGAGGTGGGGCTAATCACAGCACACATGGTGTGTGTGGCCAAATTGCGCTAACAGTGGGAAAAACTTAATGAGACAGAAGTACATTATGTACAGTGTGCATGGGTCAAGCATGCATAACACACAAAGTGCAAGGGACAGAAGTGAGTAATGCACAGAGTTCATGGGTCAGGAGTGAATAATGTACAGAGTGCAGGATCCAGGAGTAGGCATTGCTCAAAATGCAGGGGTAATAAGTAAATTTATGCACAGAGTGCAGGGGTCAGGAGTAAGTATTGAACAGAGTGCAGAGTTGAAGAGTAAATGAATGAGTGGAATAATAAAATAAACCTCATCATTAGTAGTAATAAGAATAAAGTGTTGGTTCAGACACTGGCGTTTCACATTTGCCTCACTGAGAAATCAACTTTAAAAAGGAAATATAGCTAACGTTATTTTGGCTATGCTTCTGTAAGTTACAGGAATACAGTTTGTTCTGCACACCTGTGACCTGTGTTCAATTGACAGCGGGCTAAAGTTGCTGTCGGCTGACGTCACTCAGCCAGTCCATTCTCTGAAAAGATCCCAATCATATGGTTGTGATCCACCCAGAAGCCTGGAACGGCACCTGGAGTAGCCTTTCACCAATCTGCTTAGAGTCTGCGCCAGCCCCTCCACCCCCTCCACAACCTAGCACTCCAGTTAGCGATAGAGGGGCAGCAGAGTGGAGGGGAGAACTGAGCAATCAGCAGTGTTTGATCACTCAGTGCTCACTACAGAGCCAGCAGGGGATAAATGTAGTAACAGATCAATGCTGCATCCACCTAGGTGAGTATCAATTTTTTAAATCCATACTTTTCTTTTAATGTCTTGAAAGCTGCTGCTTTTACATTCAAAGTCAGACAGTGTATGTGGTAATTCACCCAGCCCTCCTCCATCCCTCCCTCCTACTCTCCAGGCAGCCAGTGTGATAGACAGGCCAACCAGGACTCAAGTCTTGTGATGTACCAATGTCATTAACTCATATTGCTTACAAACAATGCAGACTGATGGAAATTTCAGCTGCTTACCTCCTGAAAATAAGAGACAAACTGCATCCTGTATTGAATCAATTTAGGACCAAGCTGTAAACTTTGAGATCTGAGACAATCCTACAGTATATTATTATTATTATTATAATACAGGATTTATATAGCGCCAACAGTTTGCGCATTGCTTTACAAAATGAAGGTAGACATTACAGTTACAATACAATTTGGTACAAGAGGAAACAGAGGGCCCTGCTCATTAGAGCTTACAATCTAGGAGGAAGGGTTGAGTGATACAAAAGATAATAGCTGTATGGGGGATGAGCTGATGGAGGAAATAAATGGTGGTTTACTAGTTAGAAGCAGGATAGACTTCTTTAAAGAGAAAGGTTTTCAAGGATCGTCTAAAGGTGGATAGATTAGGAGACAGCTGGACAGATTGGGGTAGAGAGTTCCATAGGATGGGAGAAGCTCAGGAGAAATCCTGGAGGCGAGCATGGGAGGAGGTGACACAGGAACTAGAGAGCAGAAGGTTAGTGATGTAGCTGGGGGCAGAGTTGTGGATGGCTTTGGAAGTTGTTGTTAGTATTTTGAATTTTATTCATTGAGCGAGTGGAAGCCAGTAGAGGGATTGGCAGAGAGGGGTAGCAGACACTGAACAGTTGGTAAGGTGGATGAGCCTGGCAGCAGTATTCATGATGGACTGGAGGGGGGATAGTCTATGTAAAGGTAAGCCAATGAGGAGGTAGTTGAAGTAATCGAGTCAAGAGATTACCAGGGAGTGAATTAGGAGCTTTGTGGTATCATTGTTTAACCCCTTGACGCCGATGTAACACAAATATGCGGCCTTACAGAACTGGGCTTTTTACCATGGGGCCGCATATTTGCGTACCTGTCTTTCTGCTGGGACCGTGGTGTCACTGAGGGCACTGGGTCCCGTTCTAATGATCAGGACCTGGGACTCCCGATTCCGGGTCACATGATCGCTGTGATAGCCTCTGATTGGCTATCGCAGTGATCAGTCACTGTACAGCCCGGCCCCCTTGTTTTTTTTCTCTCTATGAATGGAGGAGAGAGATACATTATATCTCTCTAACTCCTGGTATAGTGGGGGAAAAAAATGTTTGTAAAAAAAAGTAAATAAATACATTTTATATATATATATATATATATATATATATATATATATATATATATATATATATATATAAGAAATAAAGGAAAAATACCTAGATCAAAGCTTGATCTAGTTCAGTGCCAGGGTAAATGTTTGGGTCAAGGTCAGGTTGAAAGGTCAAGGTCAAAAGGTCAGGATTTAAAAAAAAATTCAGTGTCAGTGTGTTTTAGGTAAAAAAGACAAAAACAAAATGTGCACTATTATTTCTGGCTGTACTACGGGTACAAACAACAAATAACATACATACATGTGGTATTGCAGCGATCGTCAAGAGCTGGAGAATTTATTTTGGGTTGTTCTTTGGTGGTAGGTTATGGTAGTAAGAAGAAACACACAGCTAAATAAAAGAAAATTATTTTTTTTTACTGTTTTGTGCCAGTTTTCCTTTGATAATAAAAAAAATCAGGAGCTATCCTTTACCATTTACCACCAAATGAAAGCCCAATTTGTCCAGAAAACGTGGTAAAATTCACCTGGCTGTACAAAGTAGTTGAGATGATGTGTATGGTTTTACTAACACATGTCAGCGTTGCAAAATTGTGCTTAGGCATTTAGATTTGTTTTACCCATAGGCGTGAAGGGGTTAAAAAGGGGCATATTCTGGAGATCTTGCGGAGGTTGAGGCGTCATGATTTGGGCACGGATTGTATGTGGGCCTGCAGGGATGGGTTCATAGTGGTGCTACTGATCCTCACTGAGAAATCAGGCGAAGAGGCTCCCGGGGATGGTGATTGTGGTAACCCTACTGCAGTAGAGCATGCTGTATCACACACTACAGTATGGGCTCCATTCACATAGCTTTACACATGCCTAAAACAGTCTATTTTCAACCATGTCACTGTAAATTTCAGATCTTATTGGACTCAAATGACATTAACAGATTTTTAAAATAATTATCCTTATTGTGGTGTGGTAACTTTTTGAATTGAGTCTTCTGTGAGAAAGAATCCCAAGGATTACAGGTAGAGTTAATTTAAGTGGAACCCTATGAGTAGAGAGCATCACTCTTTGCATCATGTTCTCTGCACTGACTCTACTCTTTCTACCAACACTAATCTCCTGATGCGAAAACCACTAAGACACCGTCACTATGCATTGCACCTATATATGACATCTGTTAAACTGATATCAATCAGCCTATATGAGTACAATTTCAAAAAGTTTACTACAGTTGTGTAGGTAAGGAAATAACTAAAACAGCACTTTAACAAAAGTAGCAATTAAGCAATAAGCATTTGTTAGGAGAACAGAAGAGTGACTGAGAGCTATGCTTCTGATGTTCTGTCTATGCTCAAAGTCTAATCTATATACAGAGTATTAGATAATGTACAGGGCTAGGCACAAATGCCATGTCCAGGAGGTGGGAGTGGTTGGGGCTGGAGTAAAATCTTAGGCCATAGAGAGGGAAGAAAGGAGGTACAGATCTGGTGCCAGCTTATCTGTGGGAATGTGGAAATAATAGTCATCAGACAAGATTTTCTAACCTCTCTGATTCCTGTGTTCCTCTGAGAGCAGTCAGCTGGGCTAGGGCTGCTAGAAATTAGTTTATTGCCTCATTCAGCGGAGAATGGCCAAGTTGAAGACTGCAATGTCCATGTACAATGTAACGTCCATCGGCACCAGCACATAATACAAGATTCACATTAACCTTAACGATTATCATGGATAGCAAAGGGGACTCGAAAGCAAGGTCCCCATCCATTATCCTACAATTAGTTTTTTTTATTAATGTTTTTAACTTGATATCATCTCTTTATCTTCTACTTATCTGTTGGTACTCTAGAAATCCAGTGAGATCCTCACTCTGTGTGAGCTGAAAATACAGTATCTGCTGCAGTGAAATATCAAGCTGTATTGCCATCTCTTCCCAGTCCCGTTCTCCTGGACTACAGAGCACCTCCACCATTCCACATTTTCATAACATAAGGGGTAAGTGCTCTGTAGTCTAAGGGGAGAACTGGTCAGGGCTGAAAACACAGCCTGGAATGTCAGTGCAGCAGAGGCAGTGTTGTCAGCTTACAGGGCTTCTGACACAATCAACAGCTATTTTTCTGTATTTCCAGCATCTTTAATGAGACAAAACATGAGGAAATGTGCATATATTTCAGAATGCATTGCATAAGCTTTTTTTATTTTGCCAATGCTGTACTCCACATAAAAATGAATGCCAGGCAAGGTAGTAATTAATTCAAAATGGTTATGCAAGGTATATACTGTATCTGGTATACACTATATATATATTAAGTGGCAGAGGTAACACAGCAAGGTTTAGATATAGATATTTACAACATAGCTGAAAATTTTTATCCATTCAATTGTATTATAAGCTCCAAAAGCATTAGCATGTTTTATACATTGTCTTAATAATTTAAAGCACATTTGTTGCCATGGTGAAATTATGCGTATTTTTGAGTATATATTTTAACATTATGGAATGAGTCAAAAACAGTAACCTACAAGCCTGACTTAAATCCAGCAGGCATCTGCTCTATGGGACTATGGCTATGGTACTCTTGCACTGCAAGCTTGAATAAACACATACACGTACATGTGCACAGTGAATGGGAGTCTTCAACACATCTGGCAAATAGTACACAGACATTCAACATGTACAGTGTGGAATTCGTTTTCCACACACATTCAACATCCAAATAAGGCTGCTTTTGAACCCCCTGGTCCATTTAGGTGCATAAAGGAATGCACAAAATAAATAACTATGGCCAAGTCTCCATGCAATGAAATAAGCTTGCTACAAGCAATGCAGTGCAAAAAAGGAAGTTGAGCTGTCTGTACAAAAAAAGTCTTATACATATGGGTATCTGTCATTGCAATTTGTATTTCGAACTGCAATGTTGCTTGATATGTTCATAACTGTTTCTATGCACTCCTGAACCCTGCAGCCTGTGCATAGCGCAATCCTGAACCTTGTGAGTAGCGCAATCCTGAACCCTGCACCCTGTGTGTAATGCACCTCTGGACCCTGTACCCTATGTCAAGCGCAATCTTGAACCTTGTGTGTAGTGCACTCCTGAATCCTGCACCCTATGTTAAGCACAATCCTGAACTCTGTGTGTAATGCATTCCTGAATCCTGCACCATGTGTGCAATGCAATGCTGAACCTTACTCCCAGTTCATAATGCACTCCTGAACCCTATACCCTGTGTGTAGCACAATCCTCAATCTTGAACTCTGTGCATAAAACACTCCTGAACCCTGCATCATGTGTGCAATGCATTGCTGAACCCTGCTCCCAGTTCATAATGCGCTCCTTAACCCTACACCCTGTGTGTAGCACAATCCTCAACCTTGAACTCTGTGCATAAAACACTCCTGAACCCTGTATCCTGTGTGCAATGCAATGCTGAACCCTGCTCCCAGTTCATAATGCACTCCTGAATCCTGCACCATGTGTGTAGCACAATCCTCAACCTTGAACTCTGTGTATAAAACACTCCTGAACTCTGCATCATGTGTGCAATGCAATGCTGAACCCTGCTCCCAGTTCATAATGCACTCCTGAACCCTGCACCATGTGTGTAGCACAATCCTCAACCTTGAACTCTGTGCATAATGCACTCCTGAACCCTGTATCCTGTGTGCAGTGCAATGCTGAACCCTGCTCCCAGTTCATAATGCACTCCTGATCTCTGCACAACCTAGGTGCATAATGCACAATCCTGAACCCCATATGCACTCCTGAACCCTGCTACCATGTGTGTGCACTGTGAATCTCAACACTTGAACTCTGTGCATAATGAACCCAGTTCATACATGCGCACTCCTGAATCCTTCCTCCTGAAATTCCTAAACCCTGCCATCCTCTGCAATATGCATTCCTGATTTTATTTAACAATGCCCTTTTAGGACCCTCCCACCATTAGAACAATTTGATCATGCCCACCATTTGCAACACAAAGCTCCATATTGTTTATTTTGCCCCATGAGCGGGAAGAGGAGTGGGGAGCGTGAGTTCCTGCACCTATTCTATGACAAAAAAAGCCCTGGATAACAAATACAGTATGTGAAGACTTAAAAATTGTATGTGATACGGAAAAAATCTATATTCCAAAGACAATGCTGTAAAAACTTTTACAGATCATCAGTTTAGAATTAACCATATTTAATGGCCCTAAAATTGTTAATAGTACACCTGCATTTGTGGAAATATCCAATACGGGCGGCACAGTGGCTTGGTGGTTAGCACATCTGCCTTGCAGTAAATGGGTCATGGGTTCGATTCCTGACCATGGCACCTCCCGCATGGAATTTGCATGTTTTCCCTGTGCTTGCGTGGGTTTCCTCCGGGTGCTCTGGTTTCCTCCCAAATTCCAAAGACATGCTGGTAGGTTAATTGGATTCTGTCTAAATTGGCCATATTATATGAATGTGAGTTAGGGACCTTAGAGTGTAAATTGACAGCGCTATATAAGTACCTGAAATAAATAAAAAAAAAAATATTTTAAAAGGAATTTATGAAAGAAAAAAAACAAGTATTATGTAGCATTCATAATTAGAAAAAAAATTCAGCTAAAACCAGTAATTTAAAATGTCAATTTATAAAGCTCAGCATGAGATAAATGTTTAAAGATTTTAGAATTTCTATACTGTATCTGCTGTATATCACTTGTTGAATGTAGTATGGGACCAATCTGTTTACATAGTCTAAACAGATCAGGAACCCTGTGTGGCCTTCTCCACCTCTTGCTAATGATTTGTTGGGAGGAGCATTCAATGAAAGGAACACACTGATTGTCTTTTTGACCAAGGACCATATTGAAGAGTACCTGGAAGCTTTTGTCAACTGCTTGTGTCTGTATGCTATGGAGGAAAGGAAGAGGCTGCTTTTATTTTCTGTTGTGCAGGATATGTTCTTTCCGAGGCCCTGTGTGAACATGGATTAGCTTTACAGACTGGGATAACATTACAACATTTTTCTTACTTGGCTTTATTCATTACTAATCAGCTCAAGGAGAATTTTACCAAAAATTGGCTTTTCCAGAAAATGCACTGGAGAGACCATGTTAGGTAAGTGTTTGCACGAAACTAAATGCCCACAGTATGTACAATTTTATATTGAATGAGCATGTCTGTTTTATTTGTGCTGTATTTGTTTATACAGATTTATATTGTAATCATGTTTAATTGTTTATAAATGGTGTCAGTAGCAAACATACATGTATATAATCAGGAATAAAAAGTCCCATACACGGCCAGCTAACTGGCAGTCTACCCTGTCTATTTGGCCTTCAAAAGGTGGAAAATTTTGATGGGCATCCATGTGGAGATTTATGGGATAGGATGGAAAATACAGTCCATTAAAGGCAGGTCAAAATGATTACTATTTAACAAAAATATAAATATGCAATAAATATATTTTCCGCTAATATACAGTAACATTCTTCATTACAATACATATGTAAACATCATTCAAGAAGTATTCTTTAGCAAACTGTGTTAAGTTACAAACATATTTTGGGATTGTTTTATGCACTATTTTGGGTCAACTATTCTTTCCAATTGTTAGAGCTTTGAACAAAAACAGAAGTCTTT